GGTGAGCACTCTAATAAAAAACCAACCCTCTTTCCCTTTAGCAAGCAAACTTTTAGATTAAAACACTTATTCAAGCTAAACAATTTAGAAGGTTTCCATCGAATACAATGGATGTGAGGGGTGTTAACACCTTCCCCTCACATAACCGACTCTCGAACCCTAAAACCTGGTTGCGATGACCATGATCTTTCCTAAAAGGTTTTATCATTATTTCCCTTTCCCTCATTGGGATAAATAAAATTCGGTGGAGACTCTGTGTCATTTTTCGCGTAGCGACAATGTCTTGGTCAAAAGTCATAGGTGCAGTTGACTTTTCATCAAAAACCCTAGTTTGTGGACCAGATGACTTTGAATTCTTGCATTGCTTATGAATCAAGTTCTTTAGATCAATAAAAACATAAGAATGGACTAATGTAATGCATTTGAGGTTCTTGAGACATATTTTGAGGTTTTGGATCATGCCTTACTCCAAAAGTCAACCCAGGGACTGAATTAGGTCAAAACTCTAATCATGGTGCACTAAGGATCTTGGGGCTTGATGAGCTTATCATGATGTTATCTTACACTTAATTGTTGATGGAAGGAAACTCTTGATCTTTATAGATGAATAAGGGACTTGAGATGTTGAATATTATGCCCATTATTTGATAATTCATCTGTTTGAGCCCTTGGGAGAACCACCTAACATGTAAAGCAAACAAGCACACACATCTTGTATTTGTAATTGGTTAGTGATGTATAAAGACATGCACATATGTAATGATGAATGTGTTGAATGAAGTGGAATCTTAGGGGTAAAAAATTAGGGTATGACACATATCTTTCTCCATAGCTTCAGCAATGGAAGCCTCCTCCATAACCTTATTGAGTAGAGCAGTTACAATCAATCTAGCTCCTTCTTAAACATCTTCTGCAGGAATATTTAGAGCAACTTTATTCACAGCCTTGGTCCACTTAAGTAAAGGTTTTCCATTCTCTTCTTCTTCTTCTTCATTAACTACTTGTAGCGCCAACTTCTTAACAGGTAGTTCAAAAGAGGTTTCCTTCTGAGGTGTTTTGCCAGTGGCTCCATTTTTAGTCCTGGTAGGCATCAAGTCAGACGTGGAGGCCACTTCTTTAACCTTCTTTTGAACTTTTGTCAAATGTAAATCCTTCCTTTTAGGTGGCTTCTGAACTACCTTTTCAGATTTAGAAGCAGATTGCTTCCTCTTTCTTGAAGGCATGTACACACTACCTTCAGGAGGATCAGAAATATCCTTCATGGTTAGAGTTACCCCAGTTTCTTCTCTAAACAACTTAATGTATTTCAAAATAACTTTAGGATTTTCAATCTTGTAGATGGCTGGAAAGTCATCAATGTAAACAATCTTGTTATTCCTAATCTTGAGGTTTGTAGAAGATGGTCGCATATCTTTCTTATTGATAATGTTAATACTCCCTAACATACCAGATGAGAGAATATTCCCATATATCATTTCCATGTCTTCATTGGCACCAATACGCATCAGTGTATCAATCAACCTACTCAGATGAAAAAGTTTAGACAAAAGCCTTGCATAAGGGACATTCTTCTTGTTATGTTTTATGTTATCCCTGACAGCCTTGCACATGTGATGGAAGATGTATACAGGAAGGTTGATCATCTCATGGTTGACCAAAAACCATATGAAGTGCTTTTCCAAGAGATTTGATCAGTGTTTCCTTTTCTTGGAATCAAGCTGCCAATCAAGATTTTAAACAGGAATTTCTATTCAATTTCCATGTTTTTCACCTTTCCATAGTCTTCAGACTTGGAAACAAACGTTGCTTGATCACGCCAGATTCATGACTGCTATTTTTAATATTCAAGGCACATTTACCAATGTTGTCCATGTTCAGAAGCTTGGAAATGTAACTTTGAGTGATAGTCACATTAACCCCTGTTACAGCTGATCTTATCTCCACCTCCTTGAATTCCTCTAGACTCATCTCAATCCTTGACTTCCCTTTGAGCTTTCTCTCCTCATAAATTTTCAAGAGCGGTGGAATTTTCATTAAACCTTTCAACTCTAACCCAGAAATCCTTCACCAAGTAAAGAAAGGTATGACCATTCAACATTTCAAAGAAATTCGTCCACCCCTAAGCTTCGAAATAGCCTTTTAATGGAAACCCATTAACCCTAAAAAGAATCTAAATCTAAAATCTCCTCAACAATCAACTTTAGATCTTCTTCTCTGAGTAACAAAGTTTTGGGCTTTATTTGGAGAACTTTTCCAGAGTCTACCACCATTGGAACTTGATTTAATGAAAATTCCATTGCAGTGGAGTTTAGGGTTCTAAAGAGGTTTTTAAAAAATGATTGTTTTTCTGAGAAGGCTAGAGAATGAAAGTGTTGGTAATGAAGAGAGAGAATGTGTGTATTCAATAATGAAATGTCTAAGTGCATTTGAGTGTAAAGGGTTTTTGTTTTGAAAGAAACAAAAAATAATGACAAATGGGTACTACACACAGCATTCAAAATATTTTCATCATTAACCACCAATTATCATCCAACAGCTAAGAAATCAAGTGTCAGAAAACCTTTCAGATTCATGACACATAAGTGGACAGATGTCAAAAACAAAAATTTTCCACTTATATGCTATCAGGGCCAACTATCAAATTCTGAAAATCAGAGGCTGAGTTGCACCATCTATTACTATTCATCAGAAGCTAGTTCAGGGCTTCTAACCACAGTAGCTTATTCATCATCACACTCTGATCCTCCATTCAGAAGCAAACACTAGTCTTTAACGAAATGCATATTCAAATTCTTTTTGATAAAATCAAATATTTCAATAGTAAGTGACTTGGTAAATATATCAACTCATCGATGATTTGTATCAATGAACAACTCTATCACACCCTTCTAAACAAATCTATCACACCTTTTGAATAAAATCATGATTTATATCTATCACACCCAATCTATTACACCTTTTTAATAAAATCAATTGTATATGAGTTCATTGACAGACAAAATTCATATAGGATAATTCATATATTTATCATGTCCTTTGTCATCTGTTTTGTTCAATATCATAAGGGAATTTATTTTTTCACCCTTATACTTTCTCACAAATTCTTGGTGAAAATCCAAAAATGTCCCTAGAATTCAGAGATGCATCTCCAAACGCACCATTTCTCACAAAATTGAAAGCAAACGAGTGACCCATACGTATTATACTTAATTTCGGATATGCATCTTTGGATACACCATATCTGTAAAGTGTCTTGTTGTGTTTTTATTAATTTAGTATGGAGTTTACTCTAATAGGCAGACCTAGTAGTTCATGCATCAACAATGCAATAAAGATGTAAATACCAAAAATGTCCCTATTAAGTAAAACAATGAAAAATAGAAAAACAATTAAAATAAAATTATACAAAGCTAAAAATACAACTAAAATCAAATTAAGAGTCTACAAATCTTTTCAAAAATATAAAATTAGAAAATAAATCAAATCAAATAAAAAACAAGAAATTTAGAATTTTTAGGGTGGTGTCTCATATTTAGCACCTAAATACGAAATTTAGTAGTCATGCATTAGCAATGCAACACATATGTAAATACCAAAAATGTTCATATTAAAAAAAAACATGGAAATATAAAAAAAAAACGATTAAAATAAAATTGTAAAAATTTGAAAAAATAACTAAAAATCAAATACAATCAAATTAAGAGTCTACAAATTTTTTCAAATTTTTTTAAAAAATATGAAAATAGAAAATAAATCAAACAAAATAGAAAAATAATGAAAAACAATGAATTTAAGGTTTTTATGATGGTGTCCCCAATTTAAGGCCTAAATACGAGATTTGGATCCCTAATTTGTTTTGATGAAGTGGCGTAAAATTTTGATTCTGAGTAAAAAAAAATGATTTTTTACACTAAGTTGCGTATAAGGCCAAAAAACGCAAATGAATTTTTACAATTTCTATGCCTCTAATATTTGTTAAAATCGACAAAATATTTCTGGTAACATCGTCAATTTCAATGAAAAATGCATAGTAAATGGAGTTTAGGATTTTCAAAGATACATCTCTGAATTCACCCCTGAAATTTTCAAAAACATATCTTCAAACTAAATTTTAAGAAAAATTAGGTGCCTGCTTGATTTAAAAGGAGGAGATGATTCAAAATGCATCCAGACATGCATATCCAAAATTATGAGAACTAGTCCTCTATTTTCAGACACCACAAGGTGAAAAAAGAAATTGCCTATCATAATTGACTTAAATTCACAAACAAAAGGAAACATAACAATTGGGTTACTTGTTAATGTGAGATCCCATCCTACAAAGGAAGTGAAACGTTTGGTCCCTACTTCTAGTGTTTCCCATTACCGTATGCACCGTATAATACTTATATTCTAGAAATAAGTTGAATAAGGTTGCTGCAGCTTAATGATTGATATAGATATGTGCTCCCACACTTGTTCCCTTCCATCTCCATCCAATACATCAAAATCCAATAATGATTCAGCAGAATAGAAAAAGTTGTCCCTATCCTTAAATAACCAAAAAGCACAATTATTTTCTGCTGGACATGGCACCTCCCAGCATTTTTTATCACTACTACTACTAAAATATAATAATATACACACCATTCTATAATATAACCTTTTACAATGGTCCCACAGCCCACTACACAAAAATTAAGCCCCACTATAAAAGTGCTTTCATCATGTTCCACTACTACCCACCACCCATTTTAGCAAAAGAGAAAAGCATATCAAGTGAACTTTTGACAATTTCTTCCTCTTGAAATTTGGGTCTGCCTCTACTTTCTAAGGCATTGACATTAAACTTTGTATGGACAAAAGATGAGAAAGGCAAAAAGGAAAGAGTCATGGTATCTGACTTTGATTGCAACATGATGCTTGCCAATGACTTAATTTTAGGGTGTGAAACAGACAATATGATTTGTGGGTTTCAGAAGTCTTTTGTAAGCCTTTGATGGGGTCCATGGATTGTGCCCCTAGGTCTGTGAAGGTGGATTAGTTTCAGGCTTGACTATACTAGAGCTGTCCGGCGGCTGTGACTGGTATATCGCAGATGCCAGTGAGATCGGCATGATGCAAAGCGCCTTTGATTGAAGCAATTGCATGGCAGCTCCAACGTTTTCTTCCATAAGCTTAGCAACCTGTTTTTCTGTGCCATCATTCGACCACTTGTCCCAAGCCGGTCGATTTCTTCCACCCTCACTGCCGTCTTCCTGATCACCACTACATTTGTTAGATAGCTTGAAGATATATTCAAACAGAGAAATTTAACGTATACAAACTTTTATCACGCAGAGCTACTATGCAAAAAACTGCTCCTGGTGAAATGGATCTCAACCCTATATGTATATCTACTAGTTTTTTCAACTACTCATTCTTCATAATAATTACCTCGACTGATGATAATGGGATATCAGTTACCAGTGGGGCCACTGCACCTGCTCCACCCAATCGACTCATGCTCAAAACCTGAAAGGCAGATAAATCAACAGTTATTAGAAAGTTGTTTTTCACTTTTAACTATGAGCTGAATCATAACTAATGGAACTCAGTAAGGAGATAATAAAAAAACATAAGCTAACAGATTGGACAGGAGTAATAAGGAGAACGGTAGCTGCATACCTTCACTTGAAGCCTTAAGAACTTGACATAATCCACAATTTCATCTAACATGGCAGCTCTATCTGTCTGACAGGAGAGAAATTCACCATAATATTAGAAAAAATGGAATATTTCAGCATCGTTACCTTCTTTAAAAAAAACACAGCAATCATGCAACAGAGCAACTCTGCTGTCATACATATCATGCAAAACATACGACCCTTTGATATCCAGTAGTGTTATTTCAAATAAATTAAGAACTCTTGTAATTTCATGCTCTTTAGTATACAATGCATCAGCAATGAATGAAGAGAATTTATTGATGTGAACAAATTTCATCCACAATAAATTCCAGAATTCAACATCACTATATGCAGATGCCATGTACTAAACTCAAACCATTGTATGCAATTAGTTGTCAACATGGCATTAGAAAAATGGTCTACAAAAGTTACTTTATACATATAAATCTCTAAACATAAAATCAATGGCTTTATAAATATATTGACAGGGAGACATAGAACACTAAGCAGGAACCAATAATCCCCTCAGTAATGCCTACTTCCCTTAAGATATCCTAAAGTAATTGAAAGACAACATGTAGGAAACGGGGAGGGGTGTCAAGAAATTCACAATTCAAACTACAAATCGTATTCAGGAAACTCCACACACTGTACAGAAGTAGTTTTGGCTTCAACAGAATCATGATTTATTTAGGACTTGTGTGATAAAGAAAATTAGCAAGACTTCATATGCCAAGAATGTTCAAATGTTATGATTTGGAGCAAAATTTGCACATGATTTCCACACACCTTATTGACACTTGGAACTAAATCTTGTAACGCCCTAATTCTTTCTGCTATTCTCTCCCTGCGTAACTGTAATCAAACAAAGTTTGCGTAACTGTAATCAAACAAAGTTAATCTACAACATAAAACGCTAAACATAAAAGCCAGCAAATAGTCAATATTCATGCAAATATCCAAAGCTCACTCGCTCCGCTATGCTGTGAGGATCCGTAGCCTGTCCTCTTCTAGCCCGCACCCTAGGACGCATGGCTGGAGGATGTGGAGCAGCAGGAACAGTTGTATGCATGGGTTGCCCATGAAAAACCTGCACAATTATTACACATCATTAACAGAAAAACATGATACTTCATTCAAGTATACACAAAGTAAAGTATATATATCCTATCTGATTCAAGAAGTTCAAAGATCCCAGAAAAGCAACCATAAGTATTGACAAAGAAACTTACAAATCACAATCCTAAAATGTTCAAACCAACCCATGATCAGCATAACACTTCCATAAATCGTGTGCAGTACAAATCTAATCCTAAGGAATAATTCTTTCATCTATGATTTGTATATGGATGCCTTATGTCGATTCCACATGGTTGTCTTCCTTTTTAAAAAGGGCCCGCGATCACGAAAATGGCCCCAACAAAACAGTATCGGCATATACAGTTATTCAACTACGGTTTCTATGTTTTTATGTTAAAGAAAAAATTGTGATTAATTCACACCACGGCGACCGCAATATGTGTCGCAACACCTGTACTCACCGAAATCACAAAAGCCTTTGCACGACACAATTGCAACCCTTATTTAAAACCTTGCTCCCGTGTTTTATTTTCATCAAAAATTGTAAAATACCTTGTTTGCTTTATACATGCAATAACAATTCTATAAGGTTGATAATATTTCATACACTGGTACATGTGCATGATACGTGAATTATGATTTTTTTATAAAAAAAAAATCTGCTTCTGCATGAAAACTAAGTATACCTCTTACTAAGACAAACTCTCATATTACACTGAAACGATAAAAGCACTAGAAAGAACTTAATTTCAAAGAGAACGAAAACTGAAAGAGAAATTCTTACATTATTAGGTCTACCATGAACCACGTCGTTGCGGAAGCGTTCCCCGCTACCAGAGGCTTCCTCCGGCTTCAAAAACCCTCCTTTGCCTTGGTCTAAGCTCAACCCTAACTGGTACACCGGCGCATGAAAGGAACCTCCGGCAGCGAGGTGATGGTTGGCGTCGGAGGAGTTGAGCTGCAGCATCATCGGCGACGTTCCCGTCAGAGAGATGTCGGGTCCGGTCAATCCAGAGTCGGGGGAAGCGAAGGTCTGAAGGCTGAGGATTTGTTCGAGGAAGTCATCAGCGGCGGGTGCGTCGGAAGGGTTATTGGCCATGAGGCAGTTGGACTCGGACGAGTCACCAGTGAGTTGGAAAAACGAGTTGAAGACGCGGAAAGGGAGAATCTATCTACATGAAGGAAAAGAGAGTGGTGAGTTTCCTAAAATAATGAATGGGGTGAGTGAGGGAGGCTTTGTCTTCTTTTCAATTTCATAAAAGGGTCACCATTTTTGTTTATTTACATGTCCACCCTTTTTTTATCATTTTCATTTACCATTTAGTTTTTTTTAGGGTAAGCAAGGAATTCATTAGGCAAGTACTAGGGGTACTCAAACCCGATTACAAAAGAGAAATAACGGGAAAAAAAATCAACAAATAATAGAAGAGATTGAGCCAATTAGAGTCTAACTTAAGTAATACAAAGGGTATTTGCAAAACTCATAGAAACTACAATTGAAATACCAAATCTCTCCAATGTAAGACCATCTCTAAGCCATGGTTTTAATGTCATTCCTCAACTTTCACAGACTCCAAATAACTACTAACCAAATACTCCCAAAATGACTTGTCTTACATTTCTTCTTCTTAAAGAATTCAGCTCAAGTCAATAAACTACCACAAACATCCCATGTAGAGAATTCATCTAGTCTCATCCATTCTGAAACCGCAATCCACACCTTCTTCGCAAAATCGCACTGAAAGATAATGTGAAAACAAATTCAATTTCTATCGTGCAAAACGAACACAAAGTCTGATCAAATGTTACGACTCATCTGCGTAAGAGTTGATCCTTAGACGGAAGACGGTTCAATAAACATTTTCAACCAAAAGTCTTCACTCTATACGGAACCAACGATTTCCACAAGATATTGAAACAATTATTACCGACCTCTTCCAGCACTGTAGCATTCGGAAAATAACAAAGTTTAGCATAATCAGATTTCGCAGAATAGCCAATAGCTTTGTCATTGTTCCAAACGATTTCGTCATCCACGTCGTACGATGGCTTGACTAAGGAAATAAACAGTTTCAGTTCCAGCACTCTATTAGAAACAGTCAAAGAATTAAGAATTTGAATACCAAGATCCCCCCAATTCCACTCATTGCCCTGCCATTTTCCCATACCATTAACCAAATCCTTTTTTGAAGAACTAATAAGAAAAACGTTTTGCAATTTGTTTTACCCTACACTGACGAGAACGGGATCGACGTTCCTTCCCCTAAAACAATCTAACAGTAGTTTTTGAAAACCTATGCTTGATGTCTTTTTTTCCAAATTCAAAATATCATTCCACCAGTCATAACACCTTTTATTGTTGTGACTGATACACGATGTTGTTAACTGATACGACAACTCTTCGTATCTAGCCCTAAGGGTATGTGCCCATAAACCATTGTTACCCTCCAGAATGCACCATCTCTATTTCAAAAGTAAGGCAATATTAAACTCTTTTATTCACTTCAGTCCAAGGCCTCCTTTACAAAGGGGAAGACAAAGGTGTTCCCATGCCACCCAAAATGGATTTTTATGCAATCAGCTGCCCCTCCCCAAAGAAACTTATTTTGCAGTTGGATGATGGCTTTACATGTAACACCCCATTTAAATTATTTAGTCGTGTTTGTAGTTGTTGTGTTGTGTATTTGTGGTAGTGTCCATAATTAAGAGTATGAGGTTAGGGGCAATGGTGAGATTTGACCTTAGTTGAGGTAAGGTGGACCTATAATAAATAATATTAATGACTTAATAATAATAATAAGAATATTATGCTTGTTGATATTATTATTTTAATTATTATTAATAATAATATTAATAGGATGGTAGTTATTATCGCTATTATTATGGTTATTATTATTATCAATTAAATAAAAGGAGTTAAAACCTGATTAAGGGGATTAAGAATGGTATAGTGGGGAATTAGACGGTCAATACGTGAAAAAGGAAAAAGACAAAACAAGGAGAGCTGGGGCAGAAGAACCACAATTCTCCATTGTTGTCAAGAAAAAGCTTCAATTCAAGGTAAGGGGGGAGAATTGATTTCAATATGGGTGAATTAACATGAGAGGGTAGTGAGAGGTCCTTTCTCTCGTAGGATTTATGTTTGTTATTGTTTCTTGGTCTGATTTTCGTGGTATTATGAATTCCCTGTGATTGCTATTATTGTTGAATAATTATTGCATGATGTTTGTGTGTGTGAATCTAGAACTGTTATGAAAATCGTGTGAAAATTCATGGACGCTGTAATAAAAGTTTGATAGGTAACAAATTTGGAAAATGAGGGTTTAATAGTTAACAAAATCGAATCTAATGAGTAGAAATCTTAGAAGAATAAGGGATAGATAAAGTATAGTGAAGATAGACAGAGTTAAAGGATATAAAATGAGTTCTAGGATAAATGGAATGGCAAAATGATGAATCTTGGGTGAAACTCTGTGAGAATGATGAAATCTGAGTTTTTTGACAGATCTGTTGGTCATACGTGTAATGGGAGTGTCATTACACGTATGTGGGACCTCCCAGGGGTCGTACGCGTATCGGACGTGCCCTGTCCCCAAAGCCAGCACGACCATCTGGTGATACGCGTATGGGTCTTGTCAATACGCGAATGGGGGTAGTCATACACGTAAGGGAAGTTGTTGTGGAGATAAGTTATAGTTCAAAGGAACGTATACGACTTATCCAAATTCCAACGAGAATCGGGTTCTAGGGTGAACCGTATGTATTTGTATTGGTACCACATGCATTGTGTCGAGTCAACGAGTCACATTGCAAATTGTAATTGAATATGGGCATTGATGTCGGGTAATTGAGGTGGCACGTGTATGTGCGTTGTATGTGTATGATTGTGTGTGTGGTGTGTAACTACTCCTTAGCATGTGTATTTGCCGCTTATTTATTGAATGTAGTTCTCACCCTTTTTCTGCTTGTTGTGTTTGTACTCCTTGGGGAGTACAGATGATCAGGTACCTGAGTAGTGCTTGGAGTGTATTGCTATTCGGTCGAGTCCTAGGAGTCGCTCTGATATGTAACACGGGATGATGGGGATTACGTTGCGTTTTCTTTATTTTCCAGAATTGGATATGTTCTTTTTATTTAATGGATTTATGTTGTATAACCACCTCGTGTGGAGACTATGTTTGAACCATTGATTTCATTATGCTGCTTGATTGAGAGTATTTAACATTGGTTTATTTATGAATAATGAGGTGACTTAGTGTGACATCCTACTTGTTTTGAGAACTCTGATGTACTTTTATTTAATATTTCCGCATATATTTTATAATACGCGTGCGGGGTAGAGTGAGGTGTTACAATTGGTATAAGAGTAGGTCGGTCCGTCCGGCCAATGTTGTAGTAGAGTCTGACTATAGGATGTTTATAGTCATATGTTTCTTCTAACTTGTGTTTCCGTGAATGTTGAATAGTATGACGGGTAGGAATGATAATGCGATGGCTGCTGCGTTACAAGCTGTTGCACAGGCAGTGGAGAACATCGGTCAGAATATCAATCAGAATGCTGAAGGCGGAGAGTTTCGTAATTTGGAGAAGTTCCAGAACAACAAGCTACCTAAGTTTGAAGGCGGACATGATCCAGATGTGGAACATAAATGGTTGAAGGACATTAAGAAGATCTTCAGAGTCATGGGATGCTCAGAGGCTCAGAAGGTGCAGTTTGGCACTTATATGCTGGATGGTGAGGCTGAGGACTGGTGGATAACACCCGTCAGAGATTAGAAGCGGGTGGTGGCCCCATTAGTTGGACAAAGTTCAGAGCAGATTTTCTGGAATGGTAATTCCCGGAAGATGTTCGCGGAAAGAAAGAGATTGAATTTATTAAGCTGAAACAAGGGAACTTGACCGTGGCAGAATACGCAGTTAAGTTCGAAGAATTGGTGAAGTATTGTCTTCATTACAATACCGATGCGGCTATGAGTTTGAAGTGCATCAAGTTTGAGAACGAGCTGTGTCCCGAGATCAAATAAGGTATCGGTTATCAGAATATCAGATATTTTCCTGAGCTGGTGAACAGGTGTAGAATCTATGATGAAGACAACAGAGCTAGAATTGCCCACTATAAGAATCTGAGTGACAAGAGAGGCAAGCAGAGACATGGGGGTACACCTTATCGTGCTCTAGCTGATAAAGGAAAACAGAAAGATGTTGCTGGGAAGAATCCAAGTGGGGGAGAAAATCTTTCCAATCCTCTCAAGTAATTCAGATGTGGTGGCGTGAGTCACCGTGCGAATGAATGCCAGAATAAGGTGAAGAAATGCTTCAAGTGTGGAAAGACAAGCTATATTGTCGCTGATTGTAGAGTCAACATACCTACATGTTATAACTATGGCGAACAAGGTCATATCACTACCCACTGTTAGAAACCGAAGAAGTCTCAGGCAGGTGGGAAGGTGTTTGCATTGGTGTGAGCTCAGCCTACCAGTGGGATCGCTTAGTCAGAGGTACTTGTTACATTCATAACACTCCTTTGATTGTTATCATTGATACGGGTGCAACTCGCTCGTTTATTTCTGTGGATTATGTGAGGAGACTGAGACTTGTACAATCTACCTTGAGTAGAGGGATGGTGATTGATACTCTATCTATTGGGTCAATCACTATCTCTTTAGTGTGTTTGAATTGCCCTGTGTCAAATTTTGGTAAAGATTTTGGAGTGGACTTGATTTGTCTACCACTCAGTGAACTGGATGTTATTTTAGGGATGAATTGGATAGAGAGCAACTATGTTTATATTGATTATTATAGGAAGAGGTTGTTATTCCTGACTCCTGAAGAAGAAGAAATGGCTAGCCTTGTATCTACCAAAGAGTTGAGAATCTTATTAGAGGATGAGGCTAAAGTGTTTGCAGTATTCGCCTCGTTATCTGTGGAAGGAAAGTCGTCGATTGATGAATTACTGGTTGTGAGAGAATTTCCTGAAGTGTTCCTGAAGGATGTTACAGAGTTACCTCCAGAGAGAGAGGTAGAGTTTGCAATTGATCTTGTCCCTGGTACCAGACCTATATCTATGGCACCGTACAGAATGTCAGCGTCAGAATTGGC